TACGGACTTGGTGCATAGGGTGAACCCTACCGTTGACGTTATCTTTAGTCATATGAGGTTGAAAAGTTCCATACCAGATGAAGTTAATTATTTGTTTAATTACACTCATACCAGATGAAGTATTAACACGGTTGTATTTTGTAGTGCCCACTACCGGACAGGGTATGGGGACGACAGTTTGATTGTAAAGAAAATGATAGGAGATGAACATGGTAAAGAATCCAATTTTAGAAAATAGCGAAGGGTAAATTGTTACACGTCTTTTGGAATGTATATGGTTAGATTGTTATTCTATTTTTTATCTTAATGAATGACATTTGAGAAGTTATATGTTAGTCGAGAAAATGCTAACGTTTTTAGTGAAACGAATAATGAATGCATTAACATTCAATTTTTATTAAGAATGTGCTCCATTAATTGTTTTATATTTTCTACAACCATTTGATTTTTTATATCAGTGGTAAGATGTTGATATTCTTACTGAGGTAGTGTAACTCACTCCTTTCTTATTAATCATTTCAAATCAGGATGATAAAGACCCGAATCCTGAACAACAAGAGACCTGTTAAGGAATTACCTTTTCTACTTTGTCAGTTCGAGTAGAGGCTAACCATATTTATTTTTTTTACTTTTTTTTCCTTTTAAGTTTCAAAGGCATTCTCATAACTCCTATTAGATATTTTAAGTAAACGTTCAAGAAATGTAACTTTCAAACTTTAATTTCTTATGCTAAAATAATAAATTTTAGTATTGTCATTTTACCATTACTGAGTTATACACTTGAAATCTTTGATAGGAGTTTGGGCTTTTACATCAAATCACTTGATCATGGATATTGCACTGCTACATGCAACCATCTCCTCAGACTAAATAAAATGGTGCGTATTGGGTATAATTTTTTTTTTTGAAGTTTGGGCTCTTAGCCTGCTCATCTTTGGCCCTCTGGTCCGTGCTCATTTAACATTGAAAGTTTGCACATGCTAAGGGAATGTGATGTCTTATCATCAATGATAGGGTCTAAGTAGTGAGGGCTCTATGATAACCCCTAAGAAAGTTTTGTGGCTTTAAGTTACTTTAAGAATTGGATCCTATGAAATTGATAAACTCATGCCCCTATCAAGTACAAAAAGTGAAGAGATGAAATGTAAGATATCAAAAGGATCACATCACTTGGGGGCAACATATTTAGATGATATTACCACCCTAAAAGAAATGACAATAGTAAAGGCATTTTTTGATGCAAGTTACATTAACATGACTAAATTGTCCATGTATTTTTCATGTGAAAGAAGTGTGTATCATTGAATACACTAGACTAGCAATTAAGTTATAACTTGATAAATAAGAGATTGACAATAATGACAATTAAACTCCCTTCACTTATAAATATTCATTAAGCATCACCTAGGTATGATATGAAAAAACACCTCTTTTATAGCCCTTTACACCTTGTTTATTTAACTTAACCATTAAACAAAAATATTTTGTTATCTAAAATTTTTCTCTTTTGTAGGTTTTTATCTCTTACATAAAAATTATCCATAATAAAAATAAATAAAAATTGATATAAGGTCAAGTTTGATTCAAAACTATTTCATTCCAATACAGATTTAAATTTTATTTATTTAATATATAAAAATCGTCACAAAAATAACTAACTTAAATTGAATATGAAATTGACTTGAAATTAATTTTTTAAAAGAAATTTCTATCACATTTGTATTATATTCTCATTCATATTTTTTTGAATAAAAATCAAATAAATAACATTCACATTAAATTTTTATTATACAATTATTTAACATATGATTAATAGAGTACTTAAAAACTAAGAATTTCCATAAAATTTTAATTATATTTACAAGGTAATGGTGATGAATTTCATAAATTAAGT